GGGGGGGAGGGGGGACAATAAGAGAACTATCAACATCAATTATTACAACAACTAGAGTCCCTCAGATTTAACAATTGAGAAAAAAGAACAGAAATTATAAGAGAGATTAACACAATAAAAAAAAGGTTACACTCAAACTCCACACGCCATGGCATTTTGTCTAACAAAGACATCACAAGACAATGAAAATAAATAATGATTAATCTTCTCGTAATGCAATATATATGGTAGTTATATATCCTGTAATCATTCAAGAAAGAGAAATCAATAGAATTCAATGGATACAGGGATACACATGTTGTTTATATGACAACACAATCAATCTCTATCTACCCTGCTAAACAGCATCATGTGCGAAATGGGATTCAAACATATTTCAAAAACCTAAATGAACCAAAGTTTTGCAAATCCAAACATCTCAACAAATAACAAGCACCCCCCTAAATCTGTTAAATTAAAGCTTCAATGTCAATAATCAAAACCCTGAAACTCACATTTTTAAAACTACACGTACAAGGAATTATGGACATACATTTCAATTTTGAAACATGTGAATGAAATTCTCCTAGTGGAAGCAGCAAAAGTAATTAGTTAATAAATTAGAAAAATGGAATGAAGAAAAAAGAAGATACATTTGGGCTTCCTGAAATTCTTGGATTGTCCATCTGTGACGGCCACGGAGGTGGATGAGGATTCAACAGACATAGCCACGAAATTGAACGTGACTAAAAGGACAGAACATGCAAAGTGGGAGATTTTGGGTAGATAAAAAACTAAGTGAATCTACAAAACTTGGCCTTTATTTGTTCCTCTCTCACTCTATATTTACATCCATAATGTTATCTACCTGTCTTTGGATTTTTGAGGATGTTGTCACCGCTTTTCAATGTCAAACCACCACACGTTCACTATATTATTCATTCCATGTATTTTTACATTTTTCGACTTCCATTATGTTGCTATATTTATTTAAAAATATTCAAAAATAATTAATATTTATTAAATCAATTAGTATTATATATAGTCTTTGAATTTCAAAATTTTGAATTCAAATATTAAATTTAATTAATTTTTAATAATATTTTTTGTTATTTAAAAATTGTGCAAACAAAAAATAGAATATCTCCTTATGATAAGTATAGGAAATAGTTTAGTCTTGATTAAACAAATAAACGGTCATTAAACTCTTATATTTTATCATCATAATAGTACTAAAGTTTAAATTCAAAATTATATAAATTTTATTCTAACTCTAATCATTAAGTCGTCTCTTATAATAAATAAATAATAATTATTAAAATAATATATAAATATTATTAAAGGAACATAGATATCATAATTTAAATACTATAATATAAATTTTGATGAATTTTTCTTCGAGTTAATTTTGTGTTTATTCGAATAAGTCATTTGATCGGCTAGTTTTCTAGTTTATCACCAGATTGGTCGAATTTTCAAAAATATTAATAAATTTGATCAAAATTATTTATATTTTAATTTTCTTATCTATAAAAATTATAGATGTCTACAAAATTTATATAAAATTCTATATATACTACCCATAATGTATATATATCACAACTTTTTTATCATTTGACGGTGTAAATTTTTAACTTTCTGTTTTTTCACATTATTTTTTTTTTATCTGTCACATTTATAAATTGTTGTTCCAAATGCAACTTCCATTCCTCTATTGGCTTTATCACGAGTTCAACTACCAGTCATCAATTTATGTACTATCTTAATTTCCTCCTAATTGTCAAGGCCTTAAAGTGAGGGCCATGCACTTATTTATATGTACACTTAAGTTATATAACAAGGGACGGGTCTATCAAAAAATATAACATGTGACTAGAGGCCAATTATATACTATATGAGATAATCACTAATATACGACAGTCAATTAGAGTTATTAATAGTATTTTTTATTTTAATTTAATTAAATAAATAGATAAAAAAAATACTATTAACTTTATACTGATAATATATAGATGATTAACTCATATTATATACTATAAAAAAAAAGTTGTCTAATAAATATGCAATTATATTCTTATTTAATGTTTTGTAACAAGTATGCTATTGTTGACCGGCTCTAAAAACAAATTTTAATTTGCAATTAACAACTGCGATACCAAAAATTAAAATAATCAAATTAAATAAGTTTTTTATTCACACAACACATCCAATACAATATGTACATTTCTTTTATAAATAAAAGATATAAATCTCTCCCACAGGATTGATTCAATTTAAGAGTAAAATAATAACTTCAATTGTAATTTCATGTTTAAGATAAAAGTTGAACCCAAATAAAAAAAGAATAATTTAATACATCAATTGATCGTTGAACCTAAAAAAAATTGTAATATCATATTTTATATTTTTATAATTTAATTTTGAAGATTATATATTTGTTTACTATAAGTGAAATTTGACCGAATATTCTCGAATGTGACACTAGTTGAAGCCGAAGAAACATTGGTTACTTAAAGAGCAATTTTTTTTAATTTTATTTTGTACAAACTTAAAGAGCATTCTGAAATCATTAGGATCACTCAAATATTTCAATTAATTTTTGCATTAATTTGGATATAAGACTTTTAGCTGAAAATGTGCTCATAAGTTAAAACAATATTTATATAAACTGACAAATAGTTTTATTTCTTTAAAGGTTTTACGCCTATTTTCTTATGTAATGTACTCATTAAAATCATTTAAAAAGTTTTAGTTATATTTATGTTAAATTGTAATCCTCTTATAATATTATATTTACAATTTTGATTTTGAATTTTTAATTATGTAATTTTAGTTCTTTAATTTTAAAAAAAATATGTAATTTTTGTCTCCCCTCTACATATCCGTCTTTTAATTATTAAAATTGAGAAGTTGGTCATTATCTAACATTAAATAATGACATATAATTAATATTTAATAATATTTAAAGTAAATAATATTTTTAATTCTTATTTTTATTTAATTTTATCATTTTTAAGATAAAAATAAAAATTACAAATAAAATTTAACTTGAATTATTATTATTAAATATTAATTATTATGTCATCTACTTAATATTCTAATACGTTTTGAACTATTAGAATTAATTTAGTAATTACATGGTTATGTTTAAAATTATAAATTTTAACTTGGATTTGGTTGATGATTATAAATCAACAAATACCGATATAATTAATACTTATTTTTTCCTTCATGTCTTATTCACAAATTTATACATGAAGATAACCAAGATATAAGAATAAGGTGTGGAAACAAGTAACTTATTATAAGCTATTGTACGTGATACTATATATTCTAGGTTGTAAAAAATAAGATCAACCATGCTAGCTGGTAATAGTTTCATGAACATCACACATGCAAACAAACAAAAAAGAAGCATAAAAGTTGATTTTGGTACATGTCTGGTCATCTTGAAGAAGTTACATGATTTCATCATTGGGAACGATGGAGATGAACCAGAAGCACCACACGAAAGAGAAAAGTGATCCTTCTTCACATTGCGTGCACTCGATCCACAGATTTCACAAGTGCTGATTTTTATATCAACAAAAAATAATAATAAAAGAAGCAGTAAGTTGTATGAGAGTTTTGAACACAAAAGCCTTATTATATATATATATATATATATATATGTGCTCTCTTTTTTCATCTCATTTTCTTCATGTTTTTATTCTTCTCCTCTTCAACTTTTTCTTCACCATGTTATACAATCTTCTTTTAAGGGAAATTAATTATTAATTTTTGAACCATATATAGGCAAAGACATGCAAAACAAGAGTTTAATGGTCATTTTTAAGGCCACAAATCAAACCAACCAATGTTTAACCATATCATCAGCTAAAGAATTCCTGAGATGCTTTTCATACCGAATATTCTAAGGTGAAAATATATAATATCTTAGAAAACTGCATTCCTGAGATGCTTTTCATACCATATATTCTAAGCTAAAAATATATAATATCTTAGAAAAATTGCTTATGATATATATTCTTTTTTCTTGTTTCAATAATTATAAGACTTTTATATCATTAAGATCATTATCTATTGATGTATTATTCGTTTTAACGCTTGTTATATTATTATAATTTTATTTTTAAAAAAGTAACTTGGTGAATTAAAGAGAAAAATTATTTAAAAATTATTTTTAATTTTGATTTTTATTTGATGTGAGACTTTTAGTTATCTTGTATTTTATGTGATGGTGTAAAACTGCAGTAGATTTCTTTACATGGGATTTTTACTTGAATTTTTTCCATAAAAATCTCAACAATTAAAACCTATTACCTTATTTATTTTATTATTCAAATCTTTTATCTCACATTTTTAATTAATTAAGAGTTGAGATGTCACTTTAGAAGATATAAACCCATATATAATAAGGCGGAGTGCATTGAGTTTCTCCTCTGAATTTCCATTCTAGAACTTGGTTATTTGAAAGAAAAAAAATCACAATGCACTTACTTGTCACACTTCTTCCTAAACCAAGTCTCAGCACAATGTTTGTGAGCAAGGCCCAAATCATCTTTACATTTAGCATTATGGTTAGTGTCCTTTTCCAATTGACAAATCCTGCAAGGCTTCTCCATAGCTAAATGTACCTTTATATTAAATATTCACAATTATATACTTATAATTATATTTTTATCAAACTATCCAAACACAAGTAATAAAAATATATTTTTGCACAAAAGAGAAGAAAAAAAAAACATCTTTTTAAAGATTCAATACAACAAATGTTAATAATTAGTTTCATATATAACAAAAAAGAATATTCAAAAATTATAATATAAATATGTATATATAGGATAACCATATATATATATATAAAATGAAAATTACTATATTATTCTAAATATCTACTGATCAGATAAATTATTTTCAAATTGTTAAAAAGTAAGAAAAGAAGAATTTTGTTTTTTAACAATTCAATAGCCACTGCTTGTGAAGAAAATTCCACGAGATGTTTGGTAGAATTATACAATGATGTACCTCAACTGATGCGCTCAAAGCTAAGAAAACGTTGAAGATTCAACAAAACGGTTAAGAAAATAAAATCAAGAAGAGAAAAATCTATTATATTATACATTACATAAGAAGATTTTGTTACATATAAGTAGATGTCACGCAACATCATCAATTCATCATATTTATAATTTATATATATAAATTCTATAAAAAAATATTTATTTTTAATTTAGAAAAATTATTATTTTTCATTTAATTATAACCAAGAAGTTAATTTATAACAAATATATATTTTGATTTAATTGTTAAATTTTAAATTAATATTGATTTGATAATTATGGTAATTTATTATATTATCATGATATTTTTGTTATCACATTTTAATTGATAACGTATACTAAGAGCATCTACAATGGAGTTTGCTTATAAGCAACTTTCTGTGCCACATCACTACCACATCAGCTCTAGCCCACTTTATGGGTTGCTTAAATTTTAGCAAAGTTGCATAAAGTGGACCAAAGTTGATGTGACAGTGATGTGACACAGGGAATTGCTTATAAGCAACCCTCATTAGAGTTGCTCTAATATATTATTTATTATTTATTGTAAAAGAAGATTTTGGCATGCAGGCACTTATCACATGTTATTACCATATCATTCAGTTTCTACATAAAGTCTATCTTTTTTAATTTGTAAAATTATAATATTTTATTAAATTATAATGACAAAATATTCATAATAATATCTATTTTGATTAAATAATTAATATTAAATCATTAAATTTCACATGAATCTTGATTTTACAATTATGGTAATTTATTCTATTATCATAATCTTTTATTATCGAGTTTTTTACACAAACAATACTATTTTAATTTTTTTAATCTAAATAGTAAC